TCACTCAACTTGTGCTAATTTGTATAATAAAGCTCCTTCATTTTTTTCACAAGGCTTTTAAAACTCCTCACCCTATACATCTAAGATAGAAAGAATCCTGTTAAAAACAGTGAACAGAGCAGATAAACTATTATATTGCTTAATAATTAGTAGCTGTGAATCATAAGTAGCTGTTAGTTCATATATTTGGAGGAAAAAAACAACTACTTTTGTTCCAGCCATACTTCATAGGAAATGAACTCTTGGATACATGCATATTATTCAGAGCAATATTGTCATAAGTGGGAACTGTAGCATCGTGTACTCAGGAATGCAAATGTATTTTTTAAAATGCATCTAGAAATGGAAAATTTATGCATCCTATCTGGCATAATTAACCATACTAATGTCAATGCTATTAAATAAAAATATGATTTAGATTAATTAAGCTTTTCTCTCAGTTTAAGAAGTAGGGTAAATTAACATACTAGTTAAGTGAAAATTAAGTGAAATTGCACGGTTCCTTAATTTCTCTGCTCTAATTTAATCCAGATTTTCAGGAGTCAAACAACAGAGCTAAATATGAGAACTATCTCATATAGTTTACGACAGGTGTTTTTAAATCTAAAAGAGAGCTAAAAGAAAGTAAGCACAGAATCTATGAAAATATAATGAAAGGCACTTGTTGCAAATAGTCCATGTCGGATTCTAGCTAAAGCTCAAGTTCAATGAATGCCATCTAAAGGATAAAAGATTAACAAATCTTTTATATTTGCTGTTCTGTTCCATCTAACCTATGATTGCCTTGTGAATGAGAGATCTCCATTATGTCCTGTCCTCAACAGCCCTGCTTAGCCTCTGGCTTCCTTTACAGCAGTGGTTTCCAATGTCAAGTCCGTAAATGTTTTTGACTAAAACTCCCAGACGCCTTCAACACTAGCTGTGCTGGCCAGGATTTCTGGGAGTTGCAGTCCAAGAACATCTGGAGACCCAAGGTTGAAAACCACTGCTTTAGAGAGTCAACCAATCTTATATTTGATCTTCCTCTTTTCCTGCTGCCTCCTTTCCCAGCATTATTGTCTTTTCCAGAGAATCTTATCTTCCCAAGATGTGCCAAAAGTAGGGCGGTCTCAGTTTTATAATTTTTGTCTCCTGAGATAGTTCAGGCTTGATTTGCTCTAGGAATCCCTTGTTTGTCTTTCCAGGAGTCCACAGTATTCTTAAAGCTCTCCTCCAGCACTGTGTTTCAAATGAACTTTTTTTTCCTGTCAGCTTTCATTACTGTCTGGTTTTCACACCCATACACAGTGACATAGATTACAAGAATGTGGGGGATTTTGGTCTTGGTTTCCAGTGACATATTCTTACAATTGATTATCTTTTCTGATTCCTTAATCGCTGCCCTTCTGAGTCTCTGTCTTCTTGAGATTTTTTGGCTGTACTTTCGCCGCCTAGAGTGGTCTTTTAGGCCAGATGGGTGGGGTATAAATCAAATAAATAAATAAATAAATAAATAAATATTAGTACTGATGACTGAATCAATTTCTTCATTATCTAAAGTTGTGCAGTTTTTCTGCAGTCATGATTTTTGTTTTCTTAATGTTCAACTCCAGTCCTACTTTAGCACTTTCTTTTTTCACTAAAAGTAATTTCAGGTCATTGGTACAGTACTTTCTGTAAGAAGATGTCATCTGCATATCTTAAATTGTTGACATTTCTTCCAATTTCCACTCCTTCATCTGAATCTAGTCGAACTTTTTGTATATGTTCTGTGTACAGATTGAACAGATAAGGGTATAAAATGTTGGCATATTCTTGTTAGGATTTTGACATATTCAGTGTCTGTGTCTTCAGATAGTTCCATTGGTGTCTATGGAGTCTCACCTCCTGAGGGCATTGCTCTCAGCTTCATTGACATACTCAAATCTCAAAGAAGGGGTCCTATAGTTACTGAATAAATTTATCTTACTTCTGAGTAAATATGTGAAGGATCAAGTTGTAGTTTCACTGGTTCCATAGTACTGTGGTACTTAACTTTTTGTAAATAAGGTTAAGAGGAATAGATCTCACATAGGTAATGGTAAAGGTTCCCCTTGACATTTTTAGTCCAGTTGTGTCCGACTCATCCCATTTTCAAGCAGTAGAGCAAGGGCTTGTCCGAAGACAGTTTCCGTTGTCACGTGGCCAGCGTGACTAGGGAACGCCATTTTACCTTCCCACTGAGGTGGTACCGATTTATCTACTCGCATTTACATGCTTTTGAACTGCTTGGTTGGTGAGGAGCTGGGACAAAGTGACGGGAGCTCACTCTGTTGCGTGGATTCGATCTTACAGCTGCTAGTCTTCTGACCCTGCAGCACAGGCTTCTGTGGTTTAGCCTGCAGTGCCACCACGTCCCCAAAACATCTCACATAACTGAAGTCAAAAACTGAATTCCAGGAGCCTAGTCTAGGCCTAGATTACTGTATTTCATTCTTTATTCAGTTATTTAAAATAGTTCAATGTATTTATCTCAGTGATTCCATCTATACCAGTTTTATGCTTTGTTTACAAATAAAATCAACACTGGAAACGTTAACAGTAGTATTTGCCTGTTCTTTCAGGCACCACGAAAACATGCACATATTAAGCATACATATATATATATATATGCTGGAGAAAGAAAATTTCGTCAAGGGCCAAACCTTCTTTATTGAAGGTTGCTTCAGTTGTTTCATGTTCATGCTTATCGATTTTCAGTAATTTTCTATTATAAACCTAAGTACAAAAGCTATCCTGGAAATGATGGCTCCATCTCTCAGCAAAACAGAGGATGCAACGCTGCTCTTTGTTCTCTCTCACTTTGCTTCTGTACCATTAAAACCGACACCTATCAGTCACACTGTTCTCTGGAATATTTGTTGCCATTTCTGAAGAACGCTGCAGCAATATTTCAGGATTACAGAGGGTGAGGGGGGAAATAGGAAGAGCTCGGCTCCCTCTCTTTTTTTGACATGGGGAGTGCGTCGTTTCCAGCCTTGCCTTCCTTCATTTTGCGTTCCCAAGCCGCCCAGCTGTGCCGCCTCATACAGAGAATGTCCAAAATGGATTTGAGGCGTTAGGGTCCGTCTGGGCCCGCGTGCCTTTTGTGGCCGCTGCTGGGTCGGAGCCACCAAGCAGACGAGACCCCGGGTGCTGTCTGGGAGCTCCCGACGTTTGCAAGAATGAGTGCGTCAGAAACCGAGGGAGGAGAGGGGCGACCAGAAGGGGAGGGACGGCGGCTGTGAGCTGAGGCGCCTGGTAGCAGTAGCAGCAGCAGCAACAACCTCGGCAAGGGCAGAAACCGAGCTCCGGTGAACCCAGGCAGCTCCTTCCCAGCCCCTTCCCCACATCTTGGGAGGGGAGAGAGCGCGTGGCCAAGGTGAGCGGGCGAGCGGGTGGGCCGGCGAGGAGATGGGTGAGCAGCGGACCTGCTAGTGCGGCTGCTGAAGCTAACCAGCCTCCGTCACCTTCTCCTCGTCGTTTTCCCCTCCCCGGTAATCCTGAGAAGCTGGGGGCGAGCAGCAGAGGCCCTCCCACTCCGCGGGGCTGCGTGTGTGTGCGTGTGAGAGAGAGGCAGGAGTAATAGTCCTTGCTTAGGTATCTCGGGTGGCGAAGGCCGATGGGGGTTTGACTTTTCCCTCCCCCTTCCGTCCCCTCCCCTCGAAAGGAGAGGAACCAGCGGCTGCATTGGGCTCGTCGTGGTAATGCAGGGGAAAGAGGAGAGGAAGCGAGGGAGGCAAGGAGGCAGGGAGGGATGCCGGCGACTCAGCTTTTGCACGCGAGGGATGCCGGCCGCCGACTTCCCCCTCCCCTCCCCATCGGCACGTGGCCGCGCACCCACGCCCCCCTTCCCTCTTTTCGGGGATTGACTGTCTGTCAGGTAGGAGGCCGCGCCCCCCCCCGCGGACGTGTGCAGCCTTACGCTCATTGAAGCGTTGGCATGCCTTACGCTCCTGAGGCGAACTGCGGGGAGGCACCCTTGCATCCTCTGTTGCCGACGCGCCCCCCACCCCGAAAGGACCCGAGCGCGCGCTGGTGTTCGCGCGCGGCCGCGCGTGCCGGGTTTGGGTTTTTTTTTCCCCCACACCCACCTCCCCGCCCAGTGCTGGTCTTCTGATCCCCGGGCAGCCGCGGCGGGAGGCCGGGCGGGCGCGCGCCGAAGTAAAAAGGGGGCGGGGGGATCTTTTCGTGCCGGCCTCAGCCGTGGCGAATGAATTAAAGCTGCTCTCCAGGCGGAGCAGGACGGTTCCGGTGGCGTTGCAATCAAGCGAAAGGTAACCCGGCTGCATTGATTTGGAGGAGGCAAACGAATTACGTCTGGTGCCAATGCCATGAAATCGCCAGACGTGGTTTCCTACTCTAGTGTTTTTAACACGCCCCCTCCTTTATCTTCCATACGACTGCGACGTCGTATCTAGGCCACTAATTCTGCTACAAGGGCTAGTGATGTCTATTATTCGGAAGAATGCCTTCACCGGAGGAGGATTTATCCTTTTATTTTAAAAAAATGCGTGTGGTATAATCCATATTTAAAGGGAAAGACCTGTGCGGCTTGCACTCTTTTTTAAATGGCGCATTGTTTACACGACGATGTTGGGCAGGGCCTTTTAACAAGTTGACTTTGCTGTGTGTTTGGGTGCTTTTTGAAGGAGAGATGTATTTGCCCCTCCCTTGCGTTATAGGCAAGTTCTGTGGCTTATCTACTCGGAAGTAAATCCTTAGGTTTAATGGAATTTATGCCCCAGGAAGTTACGTGTACGCTCTTGAAAATGTAGGCAAATCGTTATCTGGAGTAAAAAGTGTGTCTTTAAAAAAAAATACAAGGTTGGGGTTCCACGAAGGTCCAGGAGCCATGTATGTATGTATAGCTTTACATTTTCCATAGAGGTTGAGGAGATTTAATTTCTCTGATTAGCTATATGCAATTGCACACCATGTAACTTTGGTTGATATAAATTGGGGTATGCTACTAAAAATAGTTGTGGTCTTCCCCACACCCTGTTGTTCTATTCCAGTGTAACGGAGATAGGGCCCTGTAGAGACAACATAATTTAAGGTGCCCTCTTGGGCTTTGCAAAGTGATATAGTGCTTGCTACTTACAGTATATCTAATATCATTGGATATATGACTTCTGTGCCTTGAATTTAATGTCTGGGGGAGTGATCCATCTGGCTTTTTACAAGGGGTTTGATTCTGTAAAGTCCCTCCCATAAAGACCTTTTAAAACCGCTTTGGCTTATGTCACTTCTGCATGCCCTTTGTTTTGATCATTGCCCCTGGCATGCCATCTGTTCTACATTTTTGGTCTCAAACTTGCGCAAATTCATAATTTTTCTAGTCTTCTGAATATTTTTTTTAAATCAATTTCTGCTGTGTTGCAGAATTCTGCTTTAGATTCTAGTAAGAACTGAGGATCTCATTCTAGACATGTTGACCTTAATCTGTGTCCTCTAGAGTAGACTTTGGTGGGACCCTAGTCCATGAAGATTTGATTGAATAGGAGATGGGAAGCTTTAATCAATCTAAACTGCAACTCCAGGAAGAATTGCAATGGAATGAAGATTTGTTGTCTTATACTTTAGAAACATTGATAATATTGTGTCAATTGTATTGTTGTCTCCGCTGGCATAGTTTTGAGACATGCCAGTGATCGTAGCACAAGGACTTAAATATTTTCTTCAAATTGACCATTTTGAATTTGTAAAGGAGAACTCTCTTCCCACTTCAACATAAAAACAAACTAACTTCCAGCTGATATGGAGAGAAAAGGGACATATTTGTCTGAATATACAAAACCATGACCAGTCTCATGGTCTACCTTGATTTTTATCATCTCATATGTTTGGGAAGTGCAGTTTACTCAGTGTGAAAACCCGTTGTCTAAAGTTAGCAAATTTAATTTCACTTTTTAATGTTCCATCCTTTGAACATCAGTAGAAGATACATTGGTGAGCTCTTTTAATCTCTCTTCCCTATTTTATTTCTGTTGAAAATGTGGGCATAGCTTTTTGCAATCTGTCTCAACTTTAACTGGTGTTTTCCAAATGTCGTCGTCAGTTTCTGGAGCACTTGGGCCTCTAGAATTGACATATTACTCTGGAAGAAGTTGTTTGTTATTGACTGTCTGCTTTAAAATTCCAGCATGTTGCAGAGGTTGCATTTGTAAGTTGTATGGAACTTCTGGATAAATGGTTAGGCCTGGAGAGGTGAAAGCCTGGGGGAAAATGAGAAAGAAGATAAATGGTTAGGCCTGGAGAGGTGAAAGCCTGGGGAAAAATGAGAAAGAATACAGTACTATGTTTTGCAATATAAAATATTTGCTATTTTTGAATGAGTGAAATGCTTTTAAGAACAAATGTTGCAAAATGTATACAATTTGTTGTACAAAATGTGTTCAATCTGTTGTGTAAAGGTTGTCTAACTTAAAAATCTGCGATATTAGAGATGGGCAATTCCTGCATACGCTGTAGATAGACGCAGTGCTCATAATGTCTGCACATGTTAGATGTTGCCATTTTCATAACATACAGGTAAGCATGTATAAGGCTTTGGTTGCTTGTTCTTTTTTGGGGACCATTGTTTTGGTCTTGATAACACAAACACCCTTCATATGTTGTTCTTCAGACATTCTACTTGCCTTGTGCTTGACTTTTTCAGCTGTCTGAAACATCTGATATGCTGGATCAGATAGAGTGGAGAGGTTTTTTCCCCTCTAATATTAATATATTTGCAGTTTTGTTTACAGAAAACTATGAGATTTATACTCTTGAAGTGTCATTCCTGTACACATTTGCTAGAATTAAAGTCCACTAAGCAGCATAAATTTTATTTCTGAGTCTACAAACATGGGATTGATCTACAGATGTCTTGATTGTTTAAAAGTATCTTAAAATATACTAGGATATTTGTACAATCATACAGAATAACTGTGCAGATTATTATGTAACATTATTATTATTTACATTATTACATTACATTATTATCCCACCTTTCTGCAAGTGAGCTCAAGATGGCATATGTGATTTTGTGTCTTCCTACTTTATCGTCACAATAGACTTGTGAGAAGAAATGTCCTTTTGCCTGCTGATGTTAAGAGATCTGCTAGCAGAAGAGTAAAAAAGGGGTCAAGAAGTGATGGTGTGGGGAAGAAGCTTTATTAAACCAGACCCAAACCTCCTTCAGCCAAGGGCCCCAGCTGCAATGCTGGCACAATGCAGGCCAGTATAAGGGGAGTCCTAAGTAATTTCCAGCATGGCAAGCTTGAGAGCGGTTTGGATTCAGCATACAGTCATGCCCCGCTAGACGATTACCCCGCTCTACGATGAATCCGCATTATGTTGATGTTTTTGCGATCGCTAAACAATGGTTTAAATGGGGGAATTTCGCTGAGCGATGATTGGTTCCCTGCTTCGGGAACTGATTTTTTGCTTTACGACAATCAGCAAACAGCTGATCGCCGGCTTTCAAAATGGCCGCCGGCTTTCAGAATGCCCCCCCCGCTGTTTTCTCGGATGGATTCCTCGCTTTACAGGCACCGAAAATGACCGCTGTATGGAGGATCTTCGCTGGACGGTGAGTTTTTCAGCCCATTGGAACGCATTGAATGGGTTTTCAATGCGTTTCAATGGGATTTTTCATTTCGTTTGACGATGTTTTCGCTCTACAGCAATTTTGCTGGAACGAATTAACATCATCAAGCAAGGCACCACTGTATTGTCAACTAGCCCTCAACCATCTTGGTTGATATTTCTCTTCTAATGGAGTCCAGCATGCTTAGAGCTTTGTAAACTATCCAGTTTACCATAGTCTCTCGAGAATGAAGGATGTCTATGCAAATATCCACTTCAAACACAAATCCAAATCATGACAAATGTGAATTTTTGCATCTCAACGAAAGATAAAGATAACATCATTAGGACTCTCCTAACCAGTGAACATTAGCTCTGGATCCTGGTGAATCTGAACATTCCTGATGTTGTCTGATTTCAAAATATAAGCAGGATTGGTCCTGGTTAATACCGTGTTTCCACAAAAATAAGACAGAGTCTTATATTAATTTTTGCTCCAAAGAAAGTATTCGGATTACAGTGGGGTCTTGACTTAAGAACGGCTTGAGTTAAGAACATTTTGATGACTTACATACTTAGATTTGAGTTAAGAACTGAAAAAAACCACGTGGGAGGCAGGGAAAGTGCAAAATGTGAACTTTTAGTTAACTGTTGGCCAGTGAAAAGGGTGCCTGTCTGCTTCCTCACTCCTCCCAGCATTTAGAGAGTGGATTGGGGGTCTTCAGACTGCCTGGTACTGCCTGGACTGTATTTTCCCTGCCTTCCCTGAACCGTTCTTGACCTAAGGAAAAAAAGAAACAAAATATCCCC